AAAAAAGTTTGAACAATTTAATTTATTTTGTACTTAATGTTAAAGAGTCCTTTTATCACCTAATTATAGTAGATAAATTATTCTTTTATAGTCTAGTGAAATCAAGTAATTTTTATCTACTGTTTATATTTTATCAACTAATTTCAGTAGATAAAGTAGTCTTTTATCGTCAAATGAAATAAAGATTGTTTATCTACTCCTGAAAAAAGTCCACTCGTGACTTCGTCTCTCGTAAACTTTAATTCTTCACTCGTAGATAAACAATTTCTTTATTGTCTTGTATAATAAATAACTATTATTAATTACAGAAAATAATGGGTAATTTTGTATTTAGTTTCCATGGAAACGCTACTTTCAGGCGATCCGAGGGCTATATGCACTTTGCAGCGCTCTCAAAGAATTTTTTTTCAGTCATTTTTAAAACGTCCGTTTTGAAACTTATGTGAGAACATAGTAAAAATCTAAGGATCTAAGGATGGTAAAGATCTAAAGATCTAAGAATTTTTTGAGAATTTTAAAAACCTGGTTAATTGTTTTTTTTTGTTTTAACGATATTTTTTTTAATTATTTGTTAATAACAAGTTTTTAGAATACATGCATTACCACATCCGTAGAGTACCTATGTATATTTATTGTTTAAAAAAAAGAATATTTTAATATGTTGATTTGTTCTTAAGGTATGATATTTTTTTTTTTGCTTAGAGGTACTTAATTTTGTACATCCCCGCATTTTTTCAATATATATAAAAAAATAAAAAACTGTAAAATACGTTTCACCTATTTTTATGCGTTCTATGACATATCCCAAATTTACGAAAATCGGAAACGATGAGATTTAAAAGTGATCGTTTTGTCGTGGAATTCCTATAATTCTTACCTGAACCAAGCTTCCCGGAGTTATTGCAAATTTATAAACGATATAAAGAGGGATGCACATAATGGACGAAGCTGTTAGGGCATAACCAACTTTGAAACTCCACTCGGGGTACTCATATTCAGTCCCCAACATTTGTTCGTGGCTTAGAAGGGAGAAAATGAAAATTGTCTACAAGAAAAATATTCAAATTGATCCAAACTAATTTTTTTTCCATTTTTACCAAGAGAAAAACAGGACTAATATATTTCCAACACATCCTCCAAAAAATCCCCGGCTTATGACCAATCATCTTTTCGATGTCTCGTGCGAAATTATCGGTGCCATACAACCAACAAACTCCTGCCGCTTCCACGAAAACGACAAAAAGGATGGCCAAGCCGGGGCCGTAAACGTTCAGCATGTTCACTAAGTAGACGCCCCCCTGAAAATAAGCAAAATCACTGGCTGAAACAGGCCCTGTTTTTGCTGAAACTGAAATTGTGCTCTTGTTCTTTACGTTTCAATTCCGGAAAGTCAAATATTACAGTAATGTTTTTTATTTCAACTGTTTTAAAAAAATTTGCCAAAAAATTGATTTGACATTGTGTGAAATATCACAATACGTGATACGGTAAGTGTTCCTTGGTTACATTTAGCGGCTCTGATACCGTAATAGCTCACTTCCCGTACTGGGGGTTGGAAAGTTTAATCTACCAGGCAGTATAAAATATATTGTTTTTTCAGCTTCATAAAACCTAATGTGTTCTATTTAGGTTTTTTAATGGAATTAAATTAAATTATCCAAAAACAATTATTTTTATGGTTTGTTTCAACTGAATTAGGAAAAAAACATTTTTCTCCAGCCGAATTATTTTTTTAGTCATTTTTGAAAGGTAAAATTGACGTTTTTATAAGTTGAAAAAAATTGTTATCATGGCAATTCTTACTTATACAGAGTGTTGGAGTTGAAAATTGACTTAGTTATAGAAGAGTACAGAAATACTGTAACCGAGAAAAAAACTCACACAATTGTTATTATTAAGAATGTTATTTAACTCCAAAATATTGGTACAAGGTTTGAGGGTCACTGGAATTATTTCCTTGTTCAGATAAAATTGTGTTGTTGTAACAAATAAAAAAATCGTTTCCATGACAATTAAAGAGAAATGTCACTTCATAGTTTTGACACTGTCATCATTTGATTTGCTTTTGCTGTAGTTTTTATCAAAATTAGAAAATCTTTAGTTTAATCTCTTCCAGTAAAATGGTTTCCAGTAGGTTTGATTTGTTTTTCCTATTTTTTTTGCAAATTTATGTACATGAATCGCAAATATTAAAATAATAAATTGGTTGTCGTGATTTACGACGAAATACAAAGTAATGGTACTGATGGCCATTGTTGCAGCTGAAGCAGCAGTTCTCAAAAAAAAAAAAATAAAATGAATTATTTCTTTTCATAACGTGAATTTTTGTTTTACATAGCGTACTAGTTTTCTTCTACCGTAAATATCATCTCATTTAAATGTTAACCTCAAGGCCGTGAACACCCTGTATAAATCTAAAATTAAAAAAAATATATTTCTTCTTTTTAATCCTCTCTTTAAAAAATCTTAAAAAAAAATATTTTTGCATTTATATTCAAATAAATTGCGTATATGATTGTTGTCTAGAGAAAAAATAGCATGTTTTGTTCGACTTAAAAATGAATTTTTTTCTCGTAATTATGAAAAATTTGCTCGCCAAAAAACTGACACTTTTAATTCTATAATAATACAATATACTATGGCTATTATTTATTTGTTTTCAATATTTTGACGTTATTTTTCTCGATTCGGACAAATTCAAAATGAAATATATATATTTTTTCAAAAGTTTTATGTGGTACATTGCTAGTTTTTATCAAGAAATTATACGATAATACCAATTTTCTTTCTTACAAAATATAACAAACAAATGTAGATTTTTCAATAGTTAGTCAAGAAAGTTGAATTACTATGTTTTGCAAATTTTTATTTTTAAAGTAATTATTATGTACTCAAATATTATTTTAAATGTGACAACAAATGCAAAAATATTTATTCTTTTACGAGAAATTAAAAAAATCAAATAAGTGTTTTGGATTTTGGTAAAAAAATACATATTAAAATATCCTTCGAGTCTAACTAATTTTATATTCAACAATGCAACCCAAAATACAAAATACAGATGTCCGGAAAATCGATTTCGGAGGGTAGTTTCCTACCCTCAAAATAAGAAAAAGACGTTGTTTTTCGCGAAAATGGTGCGTCGTACAAAAATAACCAAAGAGACATTTTTTTAAGAAAATTAAATAGCCAATAAATTTGAATCTGCCAAAAAAAATACAAATTTTTTTTCCCAAGCAAAATTTTACGTATTAAGATATTGACTCCTCTCTAATTAAGCTACAAAATTTTGATACCAGTGCGAAAAAATCACTCCACATGCAAACTTGTAAATTTATGTCCATCGATTACTGTGATAATTGAAAAAAAAAGTTTTTTGCCTGCCATTTTCAATATTTTAAGGGGTTCTAGTTCCCCAGGAAGCATTTCCGAACATAGGTCCATAAGAATTTTTTTTCTTATTTTGACCTAAGGAACCACCGGCCGAAATCTTTCAACATTTTGTTCGAACACCTTGTATACCTTATAAATCTAATTTTTTCGTTGACCAATTATTAATGTCAATATTAATGAATGATTTTGTCTAAGAAAAGATGTACTTATTAATGGACGTATTTTTTTTTTTCATTACGTAACTCTTTTTATAGTTTCGACGTTTTGATTTGGGCAACCAGATGTACCACAGAAACAAAAAAACAGTGACAATAACTTTAGCATTATACATTTTACATAAAATTGGTTTTGATTTGGTATTAATCTCAAATATTGTCAATAAAAAAAATTACGGTCAACAAAAAAAAATTGTAATCGACTCTTTTGTTAATCTCAACTATTAAACAGTCTTTATTAACAAACTAGTTTATTTATTAAATAACTATTATTTCACTTTTGTTAAAAAATTGGTATATTATTTAAAGGAATTCAATGTTAGTTTGTCCCAAATCAAGGCTTTATAAAGCTGTAGGTCAGTTTCGTGTTTTTTTCAATGCACAATTTCACTTTTTCGCAAGGGTGCGCCAGAACTCGCGCCCCAGAGAATAAGGCCATGTGTGTAAGATACTAGGAACATGAAAAAAATGTTTAAAAAATTCTATCTGTCAAAAAATTTTGACATTTATTTTTTGACATTTGACATTTTTTATGTCGATATAATGATACTGATGATCTTGTATATGTTTTTTTATAATTATTTAGTAAAGGTACAAAAATTTTGCCAATAAAAGCCATAAATAATATGAATGGAGTTACAATTTAGGATACAGCTTCCTTGTTTTCGCTTCTAATAGCCTGTAGCAAAAAAACTTGGAAAATTAATTTTCCAACAGAAATAAATAGAGTCAAAGTGCTAAATTTTTTCTATATTCCTGGTATCTTACTTTATATGGCATTTTTTTCTGGGGCGCGAGTTCTAGCGCACCCTGTATTTGAATTTCTTACATAAGTTGTCGTCGGCAAGGCACAAATGTAGATCCCGAACAACAGCGCCGCCACGAAAATCTCCCTATGCCTCCCCAATGCCTTGGGGTACTCATCACACAGCGCCGTGATCATCGCCTCCAGCCCCCCGAACGTACTATCCAACCCCAACGTAATCAACATAAGAAAAAAAATAATAGACCAGAAAACCGAGCCGGTCATCGTCGCAATGGCCTCCGGATACACAATAAACACCAACCCCGGCCCCTCCAGCCCCACCATCTCGATGCTTTTATGTTGCACGTGGGCCATGTACCCCAAGACCGAGAAAATCACAAAACCGGCCAAAAAGCTCGTCAGACAGTTGATACTACTGGTCAAAAGCGCGTCTCTGTAGCAGTTATTGTTGAATTTGTTGTAACTCGAGAGGGCTAGAAGAGTGCCAAAGCCCGGCCCGAGTGAGAAGAAAATTTGCGAAGCAGCGTCGATCCACACGCGCGAATTGTTGAGTTTGTGCCACTCGGGGGTGAGGTAGTAGCGGATGCCTTCGGCGGCCCCGGGGAGGGTGACCCCCCGACAGAGGAGGATTATGAGGACGACGTAGGGGGCTAAGGCTGTTATCCACACCGCCTGCAACGATAAGAAACAATTTGAGAGGGATTTGGGCCAAGGAGGAAAAATTAGAATTTGATGAAAGGATGTGTGCGATATTTGAATCGTGTCATACACCTCAGATATTTCCCAAAGCCGGTTTTAATAGGGGCTAAAGCGAATTTTATAGAGAAGGTAATGTAATATTTGTCCAGTTGACGCGAAATGTGCCCCCGAAACAAATTCAATTTTAACAATTGTTTCAGATTTTATTAAAAAAAAAATTAAGTATAAAAATTTGAAAGACTCAAATAATTCATAATGTAATTAAAATAAAGAAAAATGTCATTTTATTAAGTATGACATTTTTTTATTATTTTTGCACAAAATACGAATCTTTAATTTTCTAAAGATTTGGGATTGTTTTTTTATTGATTTCTGACGTTAAAATAGACTTATCATAAAAAAATTCAACTCTAGTGTTTAACAATTATTTATTAGCGCATTGCCATCAAAAAAAAAAATAGAAAAAAGAAAGAAAAAAACAAGAAAGAGTGTAATTATACATTGTTGCAATGTGTTAAAAGAATCTCATGGTCTAAAGTTTGTATTTTGTTAAGTAAAGCAGCAAAAATCTTGTGTTTCTAAGATTATTAGTTCTTGTATAATAAATTTTTATCAGTTTTCGTCAAAGACATTTTTTTTTCAAAAATTAAGAAAAACTGACCAATAAAAGTTTAACTTAAAAACATCACCATGTAGAAGATGTTTAACAATTAATATTATTAGGGCATTGCTATCAAAAAAAAATAGAAACAAACAAAGAAAAAAACAAAACAAAGTGTAATTATACATTGTTGCAATGCGTTAAAAAAATCTCATGGTCCTAAAGTTTGTATTTTGTTCTGTAAAGCAGCGAAAGATTATTATTAGATTATTATTATTAAGATTATTAGTTCTTGTGTAAATAAATTTTCATCAGTTTTTGTCAAAAGAATCATTTTTTTTTCAAAAACTCAGAAAAACTGGCCAATAAAAGCTTTACTATAAAAACGCTATGCAGAAGATGCAAATAATATATTGATTTATTAAAAAAAAAGTTTCCGAGATTTGTCAAAATAAATTGAATATATAGAAATTTTTAAATACCTTAAGATCTAATAAAGATCAATAATGATTTTTTCACTACTAATTGTAAAAAGTTCCATTATTTAGTTTGTCGAAAGATTGTAAAGTTATTTTTCTATCCTAGTGGTCAATAATAATTTATTATTAACCAAGGGCGATAATAGATTAGAGGTGAGTAAATACCGACAATGGAGGGTATTTCCTTGATACAAATATTTCTGGAATATTAATTATTATTATACAAGGGGTCCCACTTAGATTTTCGGGTCTAATATCTCTGCTATTTGCCAATTTATGAAATTTTAAATGTAGTCAAGTTAGAACGTGAAGATTAAATTAGTATCAATAAAATTACCTCAAAATAAAAAAAATAATTTTAAGACATATTTTCACAATTTGAAATTAAGGAAAACAAAACTATATTATATTGTTAAGTACTAAAAAGTAGACCACAAAATATAAATTAAATCACTCGTCTGAATCAGCAGAAATACGTCGATTATGTTGTTAAAAACTTTAAAACAGCAACAGCAACAACAAATTTCCATAAATAATAATAATAAAAACAATACATATAGTTCAATAAGGGAAAAATATTTTCTTAGGTCCTGTTCTCTCAAAATTTATTGTTGTTATTGATAAAAGAAAGACTTAAACCTCCTTATTTAAAAAATATCAAAATAATTCCACCTCTAATTTTCTTCGTTTTAAATCTGCCAAAACAACAAATGGGCTTATTTCATGTTGAAATATTATCGATAGTAGGGAAAATTTTAACACTTTTTTCCTTTTCGAGGTAGTTTTTATGTTATTTTAACAAATATTTCATATTATGAAGTTAGAAAATTCCTAAATATACAGGATGTTAAAAAAAGATTGTAAAATATTCAAGGTAATATTATGGTCCAAAATAAACAAAAAAGTCTGAATAAACATGAATCCGTAAAATAAGGGTTTCGGTGATATCGAATGTGAAAATTTTTAGAATTTTTTTTTTCAACAAACTGCAGATAAATGTTTCAAAAAACGAATAATTTTCGATATCTCCAAAATCGTGACTTTGCGGACTTTTTTGTTTGTTTTGGTTCATACTATTACCTCCTGAAATATTTTACATTCTTTTTTAACACCCTATAGATGAAGAAGTAAAAAATTACGTAATTTGATTACGATAAAAATAGAATAATACTTTCAACTTAAGTTAATAATTCAGGTAAGTAATTAAATACTGTCCGTCAAAATGCACAGTAAGTAATGCTATATTCTACACCATCGTATTTTTAGCTAATAAGTGTGCTAGTAGTGAAAAAATATTATATAAAACACGACAGAGAAGATTTTTATAGCTTCGCATTTATTGTTTCCTTCGATGCTACAAATCTCAGGTAATAAACAGCTCGGCTGAGAATGTCTCTTTTCCAACTTGTGATATAATATACTATTAGCAGTTTTCTGTGACACCAAAAGGAAATAAATAAATAATATATAAAAAAATAAATAAATAATAAAAATATGAATTTGAAATTAAAAAAAAATTCAATTTTGTTTTGAAAAATCTTTCCTCCTCTTTTTCCTGCACACTGATAAAAAAATGAAGAGAAAAAACTTATTACAAGTCAGATATTTTTTACATGTTTACCTTCTTTATATTTTTTATTAAATTATTTATAGTTGTTATTTATATAAAAGGAAATGAACGTCTGTGTTGCATTTTTGTGTGTTTATTGTTACCTTTCCGGTGCTGCGAACGCCCTTCCACAGCGAGAAATAAACAAGAACGAAAACCGCAAAGACACACAGAGCTAATGCCGGCTTAATAGGACCCATTCTGTTGAGGCCATCGGATTTGTATTGTTCTAGCACCTCTCGTCTGCAATGAAATCAACCCAAAATTAGATAAAACCAAACAATGGTGTGTTAATTTACTCGAAAAATTCTTTGGCAGGACTTGAGGAGTTACTGTTGACGCCGATGAGGGCAGTAACAGGTCGACAGTCTCTGGTGTTCCAAGAATTGTGACAACTCGTCCACGGCAACTCCGATTGAAACGACGCAATTAAATAATACAGCGCCCAGCCAATGATGGTGTTGTAGTACATCCCCATGTAGATGTCGATCAAACAAATCGCATATCCAATTCCTGGAAAAAGCAAGTTGAGTCACCTGACCTTCAAGTTTCAGGAATCGCTGATCAATTTCATGCGCGCTGCAAAAGTTTCAGGATAATTAAAACAGCACGAGAGGTTGAAAAGTTAAAATTCCTCGATAAAATGTGTGTTAAGTTGAAGATGCGGCCAACAACAGAAACCTTTTAGCTTCGAGTGGAATCGTAATTTTGCTCATGTTCATTTCATTAGCGCGTTTATCTTTGACACTCCCTTTATATAAATGAAGGTGGACGGCGAAATGCGTTCGGGTGGTCGGTTTATATGGAAGAGCGATTTCAATTTCAAATCGGCACAAGGGATTCATCCATTCTATTGTTTGATAAACCGAGTCGATGGAATCCAAGTGCGGACGGACGATTTTTATGCAACGATGCTTATATCAACGATAAGTAAAGAGAATTAGGAGAAAAAAAAAAACACTTGGTATAGAAAATTGGTGGATGCGCCGGGAAAACCCCATATTTATTATTATTTTTTAATGAAAAAAATTACTCCTACTTTCTAACATAAAAGTTTTTGAACAGAATTACTGGCGCAAATCGCAAAAACCGACCAAAATTTTGAAAAAAAAAAAACGAAAATATTGAAAACGTCACAATCGAGCAATAATGTTTT